TTATTTATTTACTATTTATTTATTTATTTATTTATTTATTTATTATTTCATTTATTAGAAAAAAGAAAAAAGTAAAAAAATAGATTCTTTTTTTTTTTTTTTTTTTGTTGGGGGGGGGAAGGGGTAGAGAACGTATACTTACTACCTATAAGCTCAAAGATCAGGAGCTGGGCAAGAAGAAAAAGCTGTAGGGTTACCCTCCCATCATCACTGTCCATTCACACTGTAAAGAGCCTTTGTTGCCTAGACGGGTTTCCCACCACGCACCCAATGGATATAACTCGAGTTTGCTCTTCACCAGGTTTCTCATTTCGTCCAACCATTGGTGTTCCCACTGCTCCCTCGTGCTAACTACTCTTATAATGACTACAATCGACTAATGCTTCTTTTGTGTGTGTGTGTGTGTGTGTTTATTTATTAATCGTTCAGGTAATATCTGTACTGGAACCTGTACGCCCCCGTACGGGGCCTTTCCGTACAAAACGTACAGGTAATATCTGTACGGGAAATTGTACGCCCCCATACGCCCCCATACAAAAAAAAAAAAAAAAGTCACCAAAAAAATCCGAAAACAAAATATGTGCTGCAACATCACAAAACAAGCAACATTTGGCTGAGCACCATCTGCAGATTCTTATTAGAATTTGAGGAAAAATAAATAAAAACCATTATAAAAAAAAAGTCGTACGGGCCCTAGAGTACTAGTATACAAGAAATGAGTACGACTTGTACTCGTATGGGGGTGAGTACAAGTTGCAACGTTTATTTATTTATTTATTCATTTATTAATTTATTAATTTATTTACAAGGCTACCAGAGTGGCCCGGGGCCACTTGCCCGGCCGGGCCAAAAAATAATAAAAAAATAAAAAATAAAAATGATTTTTTAACTTTATTTTTTACTTTAAAATTGGTAAAGAATTTCGATGTGACCCTGAGGCAAAAGTTGTTCAGGTTACTTTTCTGCATAACATAGTTTTTTTTCGGATTTTTCTGATTTTTTTGTTTTTTGTTTTTTTTTGCTAGGACCTTCCCTGGTCCTTGCACGGCCGGGCCGTCCGGGAAAATAGGGTGACCCGGGCGGCCCGGCTGGTAGCCGAGTTTATATATTATTTATCTTTTTTTTTAATTAAAAAAAAAGTAAAAAAATGGAGTGTGTGTGTGCGTCATAGCTACGCCGGACCAGACACCGGACCGAATCCGGACCCCCAACCCCGGACCTCCCGGGCCCTTCCGGACTTCCAGAAAACCGGAATATTCCGGAATATCCGGACCGGTCTGGATCCCATGTCCGGATTGCGGTCCGGATCCCTTATATTGTCCGGAANNNNAAAAAAAAAAAAAAAAAAAAAAGCCTGTACTCCTACTCCTCGTCATGAACTTTGCCTCTTGTCTCGTCCTCCTATAGTTTTCCCCCTACTCCTCCCCCTCCTCCTTGTCGTAGCTGTGGTGTAAGGGGTGTGTGTGTATGCAGGGCCTAGCTACGCCATGCGCAAATTAGTGATGTGGCACATATGCATTTTTATTTATTTATTATTATTATTTTTTTTTAAAGGGGTGTGTGTCTAGACAGGGGGAGGGGAGAGAGAGAGAGAAACGGATCCCCTAAACACGGCTCAGATTGCCCATGCAGGCTATCTGAAGGGTCCTCGCACCAAGGTAGTGCAGACCCCCCAAAAAATCGAGGCAGGCAGCGATATGAAGTAGAGCATGAGCTGCCCGAATATATACTCAAGATTCGAGTTCAGGTCTGTGTTTCAGCAGTTATGGGTTGCTCGCGTAGCTAGGATCTGTTGGTCTCTGCACGTGAGTCTTAGGGCTTGGCTGCACTACTCATGAAATGTGCAAAATTTGAATGAATCTTCCACAGAATGTGGAATAATACGCCACCATATGTTTTGTCTTTTGTGCATTTGGTGAGTAGAGGCCCTTAGGGCCACTGCACGTATTCCTAAGAAAAGAAAAACGAGAAAAGAAAAGAAAAACGAGAAAAGAAAGAAAAACGAGAGAAGAAAAGCAAAACGAGAAAACACAGAAATAGTGACCCATAACCGAGATGCACAGACCTGAATTTGAATATAGACTATATATTCTCTGCCCACGCTCACAAAGTACACATTTGAGTTGCACCTCTGCATGACGTAGGGTCCCAGCTAATACGCTGGAGGGATCCTTCTGAAAAGAGGCTGGACACGATGAGGACATTAATACTCAGATGTACAAACCCCCTCGTAGACTTTCCGGGCCGTCTGGATCGTTGGTGAGGGTGGTAAAAAATAAGGCACTATTTTTTGGGGGTGGCCCAGGGCGTGAAGAAACACCCTGGACCACCCAAAAAAATTTTGGCCATTGGGCTGGGACCCTCACATCCGGACCAAGATCCGGACCCGGACCACGGACGGTCCGGATCCCTGTCCGGTGGTCCGGATCGTAGCTATGGTGTGCGTGCGTGCGTGTGTGTTTTGAATTTTCACCACAACAGCCCCTATTCCACCCTGCTGAGTAGATCCGAAATCGAGGCAGCTTTAGTCCTATTGCAGACAACGAAAACACTTTGAGACAAACCAACAACGACACTATGGTAAGGGGCCACCCCTACAGAGCGGACAGCACCGGTTCGGGTGTGGACTATGGAAGCATCGCATCCAAGTTTCGCAATCGCAGTTGCTGCAGCGAATGGCTAGGCGTAGGCAGACGTCACAGGCCACGTGGCTCCCACATGCTAGGAACACAGAGGCACGCTGGCCGCAATTGTAGAGGCATTGCCGTTCGATTCGCTGTCTACAAATTGGACAGGACATGTCAGGGTGCCATACGTGAGTACAATATTGACTGTCATCATACGTATGAAAACAAAAACTCACACGAGCTGTGCCTTCATAATCCTCACGACACAATGCATGCAACCCACATGCTAACCGGATATCAGGTGGATCATCACAGAGCGGCATTGAGCAGGCGTCTTGGGTTCCTTCATTACTGAGTCCTTCTCTATTGGCAGATAACGACGGCGGTGGTGGGAGGGGGTCAGCTAAAACAAGGGCATCGAGCTGCTGCAGGATTTGGTCCCCAACAGTTCGCCCCGGTGGTGTAAGCCCTCCTGTACCGTGCACTGCATGCGGTTCAAATGGGACTCTATTTTCCTCCTCAGGCTGCTGGGCTTGTCGTTCGCCGGGCAAGGAAGAGGGAAGTCCGACAGGAGTTGCGGTAGGTGCGTGCCCAAATCAGCATGCGGGACATGCTGAAAAAGGATGTGGCAGATGATGGCAGCGGGGATAGTCCACACAGTAGAGACACAAACGTTCGTTGATAGCTTCCAGGTAACACTGATGACACATGGCATGCTGCTGACATGAGAGAGAGAGAACAGGTACATCTCCAACCTCGCGGCTGGCCTCAAGCTACTTCCATCGATAGGGTAAGCAAAATCGAATGAATCTACCGCTAGAACATGGAACTATACACTGCCACACTTGTTTGTTTGTTTGTTTTTGTGTGTGTGTGTGTGTGTTGTCATATTCGTTTTACACTAAAAAAGCATGACTGTGCCGGACTGTTCGTTGGACGTACACCGACTCATCAGGAGGGTGTGTGTGTGTGTGTGTGTGTGTGTGTGTGTGTGTGTGTGTGTGTGTGTGTG